ATTCGCGTGTAAAGATAGGCGAGATATTGCGATAACCATGCGACTTGCAACTTGCGACTTTGCAAGAGTGCACTTCCACTCACATGCCGAGATATGTTTTGCAACCAGCCATAAAGAAGATAGAGGCTGGGTAAATGGTTATGGGCCCCCCCCTGCTACTTCGGTATTATTTTTTTAACAGTTTGCTTTGCGTCGCACGAGCACAGACTGGTTTTTTGCTTTTGCTATACGACGACTCGTTGGACATGCTTTCGCTGTCTGTTATTAATGTTATCGTGTCAATATACGCTGGTAAAGTATGTGCAACGCATTTTCGGCTGGCCATTAAGTGTGTGTCCGTATCATCTATCTCATGTTTGGCAGCTCACTCATTTCAACCATGAAGTTCTTCCACAGGTCCACAGGGTCGCAGACGGTGGCGGCCTTCGCGAGGGCGACGGTATAAAGCTGACGGCTGGAAGGTGGGTCCAGTACGGCAGAGGGTATAGAAGTGGGGCGGACGCGTGCGGCCAAGATCTGGGGCAGGGTAGGCTCCGGCAGTGCCTGGATGGCAGAAGAAGGTAGGTGAGGTAGGCGTGACGGAAAGAGGAGACAGGGCCCAGGCGCGGGGGGCAAGCCTACCGAGGGGGCAGCATCAGAGAGGCCGGGGGCGTGAGACAAGTCCAGAGGGGGGATCAGGCCCACAGAAGGGGCGGAGGGGTTAGGCCCCCGAGGGACAGGAACGGACGGAAGCAAGGAAGATGACGAGCCAAGGAGAGACGCCCCAAGTAGGGCCGGGGGAGGCAAGGAAAGCCTACCCGGCACCGGACAGGCAAGGAGTGAGTCCTGCAGCCAGGTAGGCAGCCGTGAGAGAGGGCCGGAGGAACGGATGTGCAGAGAGATGGGGGCGCGCACCGGGTAGGCAGAGGACCCAGTCGGGTGAGGAGGAGTCGCATAGACGAGGCGTAACAGCAGCGAAGGACAACGCCGCTTCTGTGATCATGTGGTAAATGTGTGGGTTGATCACAACTGCCGCCGCACAGTACAGATTAACAAGCTCGTTAAAGTACTGGGCATTGATAGCTACTCCATAGCTTGTACGTGCAAGCATATATCCCCTCCTGGGCCACGAAGGCGGCCACAACGGCGAGAACGGTGCGCTTCCTGTATGGGGAGTTGTTTGCCCCTACCTCTCGTGGTTCATCATTACATGCTTTGTTAGCAGTTGCAGCAGCCCGGAATATGACGGTGCATCAGCTCGACGTATCTACTGCGTTTTTGAACGGTGAGCTGAAGGAGGAGTTGTGGATGGAGCAACCGCCTGGGTATGAATCCAATGACCGGTCGCTTGCGTGCATCCGTATTTAATACTCACACAATGCCTAATGCCCAATCCAGCTCACATTATGGTAATATTAGCTTCAAGTCACATAAAAGTATGCATCGCCCTTTGAACGGCTTCAATCCCCGCGCTATCCCAGGCCTTAGGAATAGCCGGGGATTAGCCGGGATTAGCGGGACCTTAATCCCGGACCCTCATTCCGCACTGGAAATATCACTTTAGAGCGAAATACCAAATAAATATACATCCGGAACTCTTTCCAAGAAAAATTATTTCCACAGAACTTCGCAACCTTTATCGAACACGTCGTGGAGTTGCCATGTATGTGCTTAAATATGCTTGTTACGTGCACAACAAAAGTCATGAACATCTGTAGATTTGGTCAAAAAGCCTGCAACATCCGTGCTTTCGCATGCCAGATACCGCCATTTGATCAGGTGGCGAGGCTCTATAAGCGAAGGGGGTTAGAACCAATGCTTTCGCTAAGTTCTCTCGCACAAATCCCGGCATATCGCATGTCCCAACCGGCTTTCGCTCAGTTTCAGGAACAGTAATTTTGCAGGATCACATTGAACGTGCTACGAGACCATCTTAGCATCATTAAACTGTGGAATGTCGTCTGCTAAAGAGCGGTAAGCACATCAACTCTTTAGAGCCTCTGAAGACGAAACATAAGCACGCTGATGGGACAGCGTTCATCCGCGGAGTAACAGGTAAGTCTGGAGCCCACTGTAACAATCACACACACAGGTAACAATTACAATATTTCATTCGTTAGTCGCCGCTGTGCAAGGGTTACTTCCGGGCGCAATTTTTAACTGGTGATAGGGGGCCCCGCAAATGCCGACATATCTTCTTCCGGCGGGTCCAACCGACAAAGGATAAACATTTATGCTTAATGCAGAACTGAAGTGCAGGTAGCAGACCAAGCCTGAATTTAGCACCTTTACGACATTTAGTTATGCACAGTTCTGCGCTCGTCATAACGTTTGCTTATAAGCATTATAATAACCTAATCAATTAGCGTAGCTCTGTGAGAATCCTAAATGCACTGCAGATGAATGCGATGTCACCGTATCCAGCCCACACGTCCTCATAGCACAGTACGATGTTCGCTCCATCTTATTCATTAGCACGGCCAAAATCGCGGGAGTGGTACACCCTTGACAACAAAAAGTTTGGGGAAGAGTAAATAACTGTATACCTACGCGGGAGGGAATCCAATGAAAGGCTAGAAAAAAAACGGGGAGTTGCGGGAATTGAACCCACGACCTCTCGCACCCTAAGCGAGAATCATACCACTAGACCAAACTCCCATGATAAAATAGGAAAAACTATAGGTAACAGTTTAATCCAAAGACCTTGCGCGTAACCCGCTGGGCCCCTTAGCGGCCCCCTGGGTGATCCCGCCCTTAGACCAGCATGGTGCCAACCATGAATCCAAACTGGGATAAATTTACCCGCAGCCATCACCGCATACCTGCCGTGACTACATACCTACCGGAAAAGCCCTGGCCACCTGCCTGCAGGTCTTGTTGTCTCACTTGTTGTCTCACGTCTGCATCTGCATTTGGCGCATACAAGCCTGGATGACCGTATTTTACCACCCACTTGCATTTAGAAGCATCACTTCCAACGCCGAAAGCATGCCGCACTACATCCAGTCAAAACACATAGAAGCCGCCGCAAAATAACCCTGTCCATTACACCTGATCAGTCAACTTTAAGTGGGATGAACGTTCACGGCAAGGTGTGTTGCTGTCGAACTTCGACTGCACAAGCCATGTATTTGCCCTTGCCTTGGTTGACACTTGAGGCGCCGCACTACAGAAAGCAGTGCGTCATGTCTGGACAGACACACCATATGCCTAGCCAGGCCTGAAGTGCAACAAATTGTACAGGCTTCTCTGCGCTGGCTTCTTTGACAAGTGGGCTTGCTGAAAGCTCTGAAAGGACTTGGGAGATCATGAGCGCATAGAGTGCAAATCCCAGTTGGGTCCTGGACCGCCCAACCATCGATCCTGCTTAGTTCCATTAAAGCAAAACAGCGTATGTGGTTTGGATGTCGATATCCCTACAGCGCAGAGGCCAAGGCAACACACCCACAAGCGCAAGCTAGCCACAGGCGCCAGGCTGCGCGCACATGGCCCTTCAAGGCGGGCAGCAATGACATGATCACCAGCAGATATTCTTGCGATGCCATCTTTTTTTCCACCACAACCAGCCCGTGGCCAGCATTCAAAAAGCAAGCTCAGGCGTGGCTGTCAAGGCCATCAAAATTTACAGAATCCAGCGTGTTGGAACCAGGGCCAGCACCTAGGGCCCCCTACAGTTGCCATCCCAGGATAGACCTGAACATAGCCTTTGAGCACTACCCACGCCCCTTGTACTGACGGGTGCGACAGGAGTGCTGCGATGGAAGCGCTTGACAACAAGATAGCGTGTGTAGTAGAGGCTGGCTTCGACTACCATAGCAATTAGCTTCCTGATTGAAACTGCGAAGCAGCCACCCTCAGAATCCCATCATCACGTATGTGGACCACCAGTTCGTCGGCCTCAATCACCACCACCATGTCGTGGCCGAGTGATGTGCTGTCGGCCTGCACCGTAGGAGACTGACTGTGAATACATGCAAAGGCTACACAAGGCCGGGGCCCGCCTTCGCCAGCCGTCACGTGGCATCTCACCGCAATCACGGTACGGGCCGAGACAGCGGGAACTCCCGCGGGGACCTGCCCTTGGTGGACCCCATGAGCGGCTTCACACGCACACATGTATCCCTCCCACACACACATACACATGCATATACACACGCACGCAGACATGCATGGATCGTCGATCACGGCCCCCTCGCACCCATCCTTAGCACCCTGCCCAGCACCACCATGAACCTCCTCCGGCCGCCCTCGCGATGAACCGCAATACACACACACACACACACAGACGTAGTAGCACCCTCAGAGGAATCCAACTGATGTCCTCTCTCCACCCCTCCCCCATCCCGCCTACAGACTTCGTCTCCGTCTCTGAAGCCGGGTGGCAACAGCCAGCGGATAATCGCACCATCGCCGACACACCCTTTGCCGCCGCCAGCACATCACCACAAACCTAGTCGTCACACCGTAATGCCCTCGTCGTTGACCTGTCACGACCGCCTTCCCCAAACCACTGACATCGCTAGAAGGGGACCCCGGTCGGGCCCCACTCCCACTACGACTATATGTTGGGGTTTCTAACATACATGTGCTTGAGAACAATTGGCCTATAGATACATACATACATACATACATACGTACGCACATACGAAGGTTTTTCGACGTAGGTGGTGATGCTCCTCAAAGGAATCCGCCAAAACACACCACAGCAAGTCCAGAGGTATTGTTCCAACAGAGCCTCACAACCCTAGGAGTATGGGCCACCCCAATACACCCTCACCATATTACAGTAGCCGCCGCGGCCACCCGCCCGGCCCTGCGCCACACACCGCAGCCTGCCAGTTGCTGCAGCTGCTGCTGCTGCGGGACCCCGTGTGGGTGTAAGTATGTATGTGCGTTTGCGTGCGGGGGAATGGAAAAAAGGGCGCTCTTGTTGTTGCTGTTATTGCAGCTGTTGCTGCTAGCATAGGCGGCATTGGTTCCCCCACCCCATCCATCCATCCATCCGTGTGGGGGAATCTGGTCTAAACAAACTTGGCTCCCTCCGTGTCGAGCTTGACCACCTGAACGGCAGGTGGGGGGAGGGGTTGCGGGCCGGGGCCCCCGTGGTGGGATGAAGACAGACGATAGGAGGGGGGAGTTGCGTTTCCCCCCTGGAGTAAACCAAACACAGCGCACTGGCAGAAGCGAAACAGAATATGGCGTGGGAAGGTGGGGGCGGGGGGAAAGACGAACCACGAACGAGTGAAGTGGGGGAGGGAAGCGCTGCCGTGTGAGAAGCAGCCGGAGAGAAGCGCAGGAGCTCCACCACCCACACAGAATGGACCAACTGGCCGACCCCCCTTTCCTTCCTGGGCCTGCCTCCTTGCATCCAGCGCCTCACACACACACACACACCCTCGCACCTGCGACGTGTTCACCTCCAGCTTCCCCGCCGAGCGGAAGGCCTCGCACATGGCCGCAGCCACCCGCTCCCCGACCGCCGGGTCGTCCACAATGGCCACCGCGGTGGGCCCCGCGCCGCTGATGGTGCAGCCGTAAGCACCTGGGCGCGAGTGGGGTATGGAGGGGGAGGAGGTAGGGGGAGGGAAAACACCGGTGGCGGGTGTGGCGGGTGGGGTGAACCCGGGGCCGGTGCTTGCGGGTCCGAGGGGACTCCGAGTGGGCGGGAGGTCGCGGTGGTGGCGGTGGCTGCTGCTCCCTCGCTCGCCACCTACCACCTGCTCATATGCGTGTGGAGGGAGTTAAGTCGACGAACCACGGTGTGTGTGTAGGGGGGCCCGCCGCCGTGCACTCACCCCTGCCGTGGAGCGAAATGTCAAAGACTGATGTCGGAAACCGCCTCCGCCTTTGTGGCCGTACAGGTAAAACCCTAATGTTTTCCCTGATGTCCCCCCGACCGCGCGCGAGCTGCTGATATGGAAACGAACGAGACACACACACACACACACACACACACACACGCAACCGATACACACCCAGCCTGACAGCCACTCAGACAGCCAGCCGAGAGCCAGCCACCCACCTGCCGCCCTGGCCGCCTCCTTCACCGCCAACATGCCGGGAATGAGCGGACCCCGCACCGGCTCAATGATGACGTCACGATCCAGGGACTCCCCAATCAGCCGTACATCGCCACGTAGGATACCCGCAACCTGCAAAGCACACTCAGCCAGCAGTTAACAAGACGGCACACTTCGCCAATAAAACCGACGCAGGTTAAGTCGTACAGGCCTTTGTGCCCCCCCTAAATGCTAGAGGCGGTACCAACCCAAACTCGAACACATGCAAACACAGAACCCCCGTAGGTTTGCATACATGCATACATACATACATACATACATACATACATACATATATGCCTGTTTACGTCCCCGCCCCCTCAGTCGCCCCCTCACCAGCGCCCCCCCCTGGCAGCAGTTGTTGATCATGGACTTCATGGGCACCTCGCGGGGCAGCACCGCCCGCATCTCCGCAGTGGGCGCCTCGAACCGCGGGTTCACCAACACGAAGTGGAGCTCCTCCGCGGCGGTGAAGGGCAGCTGAAGCAGCTCTACGGGCTCACCGGGCTTGCAAGACCTGGCCAGGGGGGCAGCAAGGGAAAGGAAGCGGGGTAGGGGGTCAGAGCGGGCGGGCAAGCTAGGGGTGGGGTGGGGTGGGGCGGGGCGGGTAGTGGGTAGCCACGGCGGCGAAGGAGCCCAGGAAGGTGGTGGGGTGGGCACTGCGAGGGGGAGAGAGAGAGAGCTCCCGGCTACAGCGGGCTGAGGCGGAGGAGGGTGAGACGAGCCACTGTCGGTGCAAGGGAAGCGAAGCCGTGTCGTACTCCGGGGCTGGGAGCCTCTCAAGGAAAGGGGTAACTGGAAGCCCATCACAGCTCCCCCGGGGCCCCCCTTACCCCAACCCCCCTACCCCTTTACCTGATGAGCACGAACCCCCCCAGCAGCGAGGGCCCCACGTTATCCGCATGGTAGCCACTCACAGCCGCCTCGCTGGCTAGGCCCGCCAAGATCAGCTTGTCCTGATGTGCGTATGTATGTATGTGCGTGAGTGTTTCGTGAGAAAGGAGGTGGCAAGAGTATCACAATGATCGAGAAAAAAATCCGCACATAGGGAAGTGTTGCAAGGGAAACGTTACCGACGCCGCAGCCTGTGTGTGCGTGTTTTAAGGAGAAGGGATAGTGCGGGAAACATGTGGCTGAAATTCACTTGGCACCTGACCAGGGACATGGCCCGCGGGAGCACGGGAGCCCCTCCCCCCTCCCCCATCACCTTAGCCAGCGGGGCTCCAAAGAGGCCGTTCACGGCCCAGGCAGCCGCTGCGGCGCTGGCGGCGCTGGAGCCCATTCCGCTGCCCAGAGGTAGACCCTGGCGAGGGGTAAGGGGGCGGGGGAGGTAAAGGGGAGGGGGAGTGTGTGCAGAAATGAAAAATCGTCAACCACCGATCCGATACGATCTGGGTTGCGGGGTGTCCGTGGAAAGGTATGAACGTCGGGCACGGGGAGCTGAAACCCTGCCGTACACGAAGAGAAGGAGATGAAGATGCAAGGTTCCGTTCAATTGATACAAGTTGAGAAGCGCACTCCGGGGGACCAGGAACCGGGGGGGAAGGCGGGGGGCGGCTTTTCCGCTGTGGAGAGTTACATGCACTTCCACCAGAGGGTCACAGCCCTCTGCACAGATCCATTGAAAGAAGGGGTCACCGATGCCATCAAGCTACAACCCGTACATGATTGCCGCAGTAGCGTATCAAACCTAATCCCCCTCCCTCCCTCCCCTTTCCCCCGGCCCCTCCCCCCGTTCCTAGGGTTACCTTGTGTAGTGTGAGGCTGACTCCGCACGACACCGCGCCACCCAGGAGCTTGAGGGTCTCCGAGGCCGCCACCCCGATGCAGTTCTTGGCGGGGTCGAGGGACAGCCGGCCACCGTCACCCTAAGTGCGGGGGTCAGGGGGGGTCGGGGGGGGGGGCGTGTTTTAATGAGAGCCCAAGGAGGGGTCAGGAGATTCGGGGGGCCCAGGGATATGCATATGGGCGATTCGCCTGTCCCCTCACCCTTTTCGCTTTCATACACTTCCCCACTTTTAACTTTAAAACCCCTCGCCCATCACACACTTCCCCTCCTTTCCCCCAGATTTAAGATGGGACTGGATGCGCCCGTGGCGTTACGATTACGTGATGTAGCCGCATACATAACGGCGCTGCCGCACAAACAAGAAGACTGTGCAAGCAAAGCAGAGATGTATTGGACGACACGGCAATCATGTCCGGGTTGTACCTTGATGGCTTCAATGACCACTTCTCCCGCCCGGCCCGGCAGCGCTTTCACGACAACCGTGTCGCCACCCCCCTGGACAGTATTATGACGGCAGCAGGGGATCACGGCAGCCAGGGAAGGGGGAGAGTCCGTGGAACCGGGACTCGCTTGTGGAATGAGGGAGTCGGGGACGGATCCACGTTTTCACAATTAACAAAGCTTTGCAGAAACGGACCAAGCGCCAGGGGCATGGACTTTCCACCCTTCAAGATCCCAGCGCCGTACTTTGAGTGCAATCAGAAAGCCCCTGATAGCACGTAGCGAGTATCCCTTCGCCCTAGCTTTACCTGTACGGCACAGCCCATCCAGTCAAAGCCAGGACCGAGGTTCGCGACAGTTGCAGGGGCGAATGCCGAACACTCGTTTTGGACAGGATCCAGGTAAACCTTGCCACCGGCTGCAACGTTCAATCGCGTGCATCGAGCTGGTCGGCGCACAGCCGCAGGCCGGCAAGATGTCTTTGCCGTGCCTACAATTTCCCGATGCTGACGAAGTGTTTGATGCATTGCCATGTTTGCCGGGCGTTGGAAACCCGAGGTGAATAATGTCCCCAGCAATCGCTCTTATTCGCAGACTATGATCAATTAAGTATTCGCGGATGTATCAACCAAAGACATGCTTTTAAATTAGCGACCGTAATGTTAACAGCTACAAATCGGGCTCTCGGTGTTTTACTTTTGTTGTACGAGGTGACGGCTAACGCAGGACATGTAGTTCGAGAGCCTAGTTTTTGTTCCAAATGCTGTACGCATGAAATTTATCATATTAGTAAGTATAAGGCACTTTGTAGCCGGAATTTAGCCGCCGAACCGCCGCCGGCCAGCCTTTAAACTGAGAGCCCGCCATAGAAGAATTTGTTTAAATGCAAGCATGACCTTGTAAGAGAAATTTTGCCCACCCAAGGGAACTGTATCCCAGGCGTGCGGTCAGGTTTTGTACTAGAAATGGTTCCCGACGTGGCCGAGCATGCCCGTTTCTTCGATCACCTTGTCGAATTAGTTCCAGCTAAGTTCTATTACGACGACGAATCCGCACGGATAAACCCGCGCCACTTGGCCAAGGCGGCACGGGAGGCGCTGAAGGCGGATGCAAAGTCTAAGGCAAAGATTGCCAAGCGCGAGAAACTTGATCCTGATAAGGCGGCTACGACTTTAGAATTACAGCGGCGGAAAGCCCAGGCGTCCAAGGACCACGTATTGGCTAACGGAGCCGGCGGCGACGTGGCAACCCCTTCCGGTCGCCTAGACGCAGTCGCCGGGGCTACGGGGCAACCTTCCGGTGGGCAGTCTTCGGGCCCACCCGCGGCGAGGGGCCTCAACTTGCAGCTATCGGGTGGGACACTGAGCCGCCAGGAGCTGCTCGAGCGACTGCACAAGAAAGTGGAGGTAGGGACGCAATGGGCGGCTGGCAGCAGGCGTCTGCGGCTGCCGTCCACCTCCTGGGGACGGACATCAGCAGCAACGGCAGCAGTAGTCAGGCAGGCAGCCATGCACAGTCACCCTGTCTCTCATCCCTCGCGGCAACCACCGTTGTGACCGTCCTTTCTTCCACGTCCCCTAATCATCCCAGGATGGGGGCCCCCTGACACCCTGGGGGGGTAATTCACCCCGATGTGCTGTCTAGTTCTGTTTACCCGCCCATCCCCCCTTCCTTTATTAGCAACTGTTTCCTTCCTTTACTTCAGACTGCAGCTGTCAATACTACCTACTATGGGCATTGGCAATTCATCGCTCGTCTCCCGCACATATTTTCCCCTTTTTCCCTTATTCGCCACTGCCAGGAAGCCCGGCAGCGGCGCAAAGCGTCCGAAGAGACGGCCGCCAAGGCTAAGGAATGGAAGCAAAACGCTCTGAGGGACAACGCGGCGGCCAAGCAGCAGCAGGCCAAGCAGCAGCTGGCTGGCTCCAAGCGCAAAAGCGGAGTCGGGGAGGGGCCCGTGGGCGGCGACACGGCCGCCGGAGCCAAGTCACCCGGCCACCTGGGTCAGGCTCAGGGCAAGAGTCAGGGCCAGTCTGCGAAGAAGGCACGGCGGGAGGACCAGGCGGGGGGCAGCAGCGGCGAGGACCCGGTGGACTTCAAGTTTCCTCGGATAGAGCTCGAGGACGGTGGGTCGGGTGTGTGTGTGTGTGTTCAACTATTGCGCGCCGCGCCGTGCCGTGTTTTGCTACCCCTAGTCTCACAGCATTTTCTGTCTTTTAACGTGGCCGCACGGCTGGATGCATAGCGGGGTGAGATGGCTGGCCTCGGGTTCGGTTGGCAGCAGGTTATCTGCACGGTAACGGAGAGTCACCTGGGGGGGGGAGACGAACCACGAACGCGTGAAGCTGCTGCCAAGGAAAGAGTGTACAAGAAGTAGAACTGACCAAAAGGCGTCCTTGAAGGCGGCGACCTCGGGATGATGTAGTGATGAAGATGTCGGAAAAACTACCTACCTAGCCGCCAAGACTAAAATAAACTCGGAGGAAAAGCAGTAAAGCCAAGCCGTGGAGAAGTATTCCCGCGGGGGGTTGGAAGTCAGGGGGCGCGGGGCGGGGGCTGAAGGACGCTGCTGGCACCGGCCGGGTTCACGTACCTGCAGGTATGGAGGGAGGAACACAGATGTACGGCGTGAAAGGGGGCCAGCCCGGCACGCAAGGCCGGCCCGGTGCTGGGGGTGACATGCTGCTGCCTCTGATTGAAGAACGATGTCGACCGGTAGTGAATTCATGTCATGGGACTCTTTCCCCCCCTTACAACGTCAGACACACAATATCAATATATGTAGAGACAAACAGAGAGTGAGAGTGATTATATGTACAGATGTTGCCGCGGCATGGCAGTGGAGCTCTGAGTTGGTACACCTGCCGCCACCACCACCACCGTGGCCGCCGGCTGACCCCGGGGTATCGCCCCACGCGTCCGCGGCGCCTTGCCCCAGATGCCATCCTACCCCCTACACCACCCCCCACCCGTATTCGTGTGTATCAAACTCAGGCCGATCGTTGCGTTAATGCTGGTCGGTATGGAAGAAGTGTGCGGACAGTGGGAACAGATATTGAACAATGTGCTAGTGCATGGGCATGGGCAAGTGGATGTGCACGAGTGCATGTGCACGGGCAAAGCGACCCACGGTTGTCACCGTTTCGGGTTTTGTTCCGTCCCGCCTCCGGTCCCCGTGTCGGTCTCTCAGGTGGGCGCCACGGCAAGCCTCCTGGGGCCCGGAAGCTCTCCAAGCAGGCGCTGTTGAAGCAGGTGGAAGCCAAGAAGGCCGAGCTGGAGGCGCTGGGCGGCACAGAGGAGGGCAAGGTGGGGAGGGGCGCGGCGCCCCGGAGTGCTCGGGGGAAAGAGAGATTCTTTTTGCTGAAGCCCAAAAAGAAACAGAAGTCACCTGGGGTGGGGATGGATATGGAGGCGGGTGAACAGCGGGCAAGTCGCTGTGTGCTGCTAAGTCCTGGGTCAGACCTCCCGCCCTCCACCAATCCTTGCGGTGCTTGGAGTGCAGGCCAAGGTGCAGCAATCAGCCTGGAAAGCGGCGCTCGCGCGCGCTGGGGGTGAGAAGGTTCTCGACGACCCCAAGTTGCTGCGGCGCTCCCTCAAGCGGGAGAGCAAGCGGAAGGAGAAGCATAGCAAGGCCTGGCAGGTGCGTATGTGTGTGTGCGGCTGTGTTGCTATGGCTGAAGACATGTTTGTGTGCGTCTTATGTGCTGCTGGTGCCCACCCCTGTTTTTTCCCTGTCCGATTCCACCGTGGCTGCTTCTTAGGGCGCCGCCTGGCTCTTTGTATCGCTTGTATGGCTCGCTGACCCCGGACTGAACTTGAAGCCCCCTCTGTGCTCTCGGCCCCCGTTGCCCCTATCGCTGCAGGAGAGGGTAGCGTCCCAGCAGGACGCCCAGGCGGCCCGTCAGGCCAAGCGCAAGGAAAACCTTGCGGCACGCCGGCAGACCAAGGTGGACAACAAGAAGGCCAAGCGCGAGAAAAAGCTGCTGCGACCGGGTTTCGAGGGCCGCAAGGAGGGCTTCATCACGCCCGGCGGAAGCCAAGGCGGCAAGTAGAACACCTTGACATTGAAACAAGGATGTCCAGGTGTTCGGTCCCTCAGAAACTCGACAGGAACTTGTGATGGCCAGGGGACGTAGAGCCAAGGCGGAGAGCCCAGGATGACCCGAGAGTTTGGATTCTAAGAGCTGCTTCACGGGGAGCGTACGACGTAGAAAGGGTTTGGATGCGGATTTCCACAATCGGCTGTCAACCTGGAGCAGACTGAATGGGGCAAGATTGGCGGCAATTCAAGTAGGAGTCGGTAGCCATTTGAAGCCATGATTGAAGGGACCGAAAATGATCATTTCGTAGGGGAGGTGACATTTGCGAAGGGCCAGGAAATGCCGCAGCCGCTGTCAATTTTGCTTCGGGACGAAACGGGTGGCTTGATTAGCGGCTGGTCTGGGCCGCTGTGCATGTCCTCGCCTCTTCCTCCACATGCAGCAGGTCACCCGAGCCACAGGAGCGGCATCAGCAGCATCAGCGGGTAAAGAGCTTGCGGACCGTTGTTTGGTGTGCAACGCCGCAAAGCAGCGAACATGACGGGACTGGCTCAAGGGACACGTGGCATTCTCTGACATTCTCGTTGTGATATTGTGGTGATGACAGGGGGGTTGTGGCATGAGAGGAGGGAGGAGAAGGGGCGAGTCTCTTACTCCTATCGTCTCATATTCAGCGACAGAAGGACCTCACTCGGTCATATAAGCTGACGCAAAGGCAAATCTGTGTTTCGTTTGTTACTCCGCCGGGGGATATGCCACGTGTGAGGACTGCGACAGAACGCGACACGTCTCACATGGTGTCGATTGCCACACAAAATTGGATGATAAGGAAAGATCGAGAAACACTGTATGCTTCAAATGTATGTGTGACTGGACTTTGGGGATTTAAAGGGCAAACGGTAAAGGGGACGCGATTCGAATGCTGAGCCTTACGGAGGAAATGATTTGTGGCGGGTCACCGTTAAGATAAGCCGCAGTGCTCTGAAGGTGTTCTGCAGTTCCGGACACGCGGCTTTTGTTCAACACGGCCTGCCTACGGACCTGGAGTCATCTATCAGCAGCAGAAGCAACAGGTCCCCTATGGGCGCAACCCCTGCGTCTGTAGTGGCGTACCTAGGGGGGTGGGGCTTTTGCTGTAATACACACATCATAGACGTGCCGCGTTGGCAATGTGATCTGCACGGCGGGGTACAGGCCTGCTTCCCGTTACACGTCAGCACAGGCCTGCTCATGGACCTCGATAACGATCCTGGTTTACCTGGGCACCATCCCCGCTGATTGGGCCTGCAATGGGATATCTGAGGTTAGCCGGCGGCAAGCGCCTTGGCGTTACAAACCAGCCATTCCACACAACATCTAGGGGGATTCCAAGTACCACTCTGACACCATCACCCCCAGTTGAATAGAGCAGTGTGCCATGTATCGGATGGATCGCGTCCCTGTGGCTTTTGGATGATGCCACGTAGGCGTTACAGATCCGGAGCGGGGCAATAACCACCTCCAGATGATACCCCCATCAGTGTTTTTTCGTTAGGGCGTGTAGGTCCCTTTTTATTCCTTCTCAAGTAACAGATTTTCAGAAGTTTTGTGTGATTTATTACTTAGGGCTTTAGGGTTAGTGAGGCGCTTGGGGGCCCGGAGCTCCCACCAGGACGGGCCCGCACAAGTTACAAGTCCACTCGCAAACCTAGAGCCACATGCAGATGGTGCAGTTCTAAGTGCCCTTCGTTCTCGCCAACATGCCATCCTCGTGCGCATAGCCACGTGTTTGCATGCTTTGCCAGACCTGCCCAGTCACGGGTCATGCATGTAAAACACGCGCATCCTGAACCCAACACGCACCTCCACAGCCAAGCTTTCCCTGGGTCTGGGAGACAAGGCAAGCAGTGCTCTGGCGCTTCACGCTCAAACGGGGCGGGAGGATGACGTTAGTTCCCCCCCCTCCGTAAAATGAGCGACCGTCACTGTCGTCGTGCTGAAAGGGCCATAGCTTACGCTTACATTTATAACGTGCGCCATGGACGACAGGGTACAACGGGGTGAATGGTGTTCACCGTTGGCAGCTAAACCATCGCCGATATGTCAACGACGTTAGCACTACTGTTTAAAACACCCTTATAAATAGCAGGGGAGTAGTTCCGTATAGTGTATCTTGCTGCGTTGCTGGTTGTTTGAGGTTGCATTCCTTGGCTTGTGCGCACTTTGCTGTGTTTGGACCAGTCATATACGCGGTGGCTCACGGGCGTGACCTTGTTAAGACCGTCCATGGCCCCTCATTGCTTGTCTATGACATGAGATACTATGTTTCCTTAAGGCTGCTCGTCATTTTTGGATGAAGTAAATGTACGACTCGGCCTCGATCCTATCCTTTTTACCAAGCCAAAATCCCGATCTGGAATATATTACTTAAATGAACTGTCCCTCCGGCCTTTCACTTCCTCTGCGCATAAACCTCAGGCGGGCCCCTCCTGCCCCCTTTTCCCCTGCTCTACCCTGATCCCAAACCACCACTCTTTTCACCGCACCACATCACGGGGCAAACCCACACGGCGCGACAGATCCTTCATAGGGCCCTTCTCACAACTGCGAACAAAGCTGGGCGCAGAACACGCTCGTCTTCCCCATGGACACACGGACACATGGACAGTCTACACGGTGGTGCAGAGCTCCCAGGGCCGAATAGGAATGTAGCCTAGGAAGTGCCCGCAGCTGGCGCCTCACCCTCCGAGCCTGCCCCTGTCGCCGCGCGGCTTGTGCTGTCCATCAGCCACTGCAAGTACGACGGGTTGCCGCCCAGAATGGGTAATCCAATCACCTCGGTCTTATGATCCCAGCAACTAGCTTGTACGACAGCCGTTAGCTCTGTCAGCAGCTCCTCCCGGGTCTTGATAATCAGCAACATCTCCTCCTCCTGCTCCACCTGCCCCAGTGGATTAGTTCACAGTTTCAGTTAATTTCAGTTAGTTTAGTAACTACTGGCCACTCAATAACGCAATACTCCGAGGAATGGGAACATTGTCACCTAGGGGAAGTAACGGTGGAGGTGACTCTGGGCTTACACGTGTGTCGCTTTGGAAGCCAGGACAGCTTCAAACCCCCCACCCCTAACTCTTCCCTCCTCCTCAGCCTCCTCAGCCTCCACATTCCACGCGGGGGCCCTCCCTCCCTCCACAAAACACGTTCGGGAGTTCCGTTGAGCTGCCCCCATGCACCCACCATCGTCCACAACTGCCCTCGCTGGGGGCTGTCACACTCTCCCAAAGCAGGGTCACCGCACTCACATTTCCCTTACACATGTATATGGTGGTCACTCCGGGTAGTATGTTGACACAGGCCGCCAGCTTGGCGGCCACCAGCTTCTCAGCCAGTGGCTCAGCCACCTGATGTGGGAAAGCGGGCGGTGAGAATCATGTCGTGATGACAATGGTGATGATGATAATGGTGGTGATGATGGTGGCGATGATAATGATGGTGATGATAATAATGGTGATAATAATGGTGATAATAATGGTGATGATGATGACAATGGTGATGATGGTGAGGACGATGCAAGTGCCGTAGGAGGCAACTACCAACATCTGAAGCACCAACTGCCCCCGGGGGCGGAAGAAAGGGGAGTCCGTCAGGGGATGAAGGACGCGAACGGGCTGCTGCCATGTCGCGAACCGAAGAGGCAAGAAGGCCGGGCATTCGCAGCTCGGAACACGTTGAGCCGTTCGATGCGGGTCACGTGCCATGAGGCTGGTCTAGGGAGAATGGTCACTCTGCCGCATGGAAGGTAGGTAGGTAGGTAGGTAGGTGGATGGGTGGGTAGGTAGGTAGGTAGGTATGTATGTATGTAGGTAGGCAGGCAGGTAGGTAGGTAGGTAGGTAGGTAGATATGCACGGAGTCCTGACCACCCATACGCGCCCACGCGCTGTTATCTGGCATCAAGAGTTACCGAACCGCCGTACCTGAATGTGGGGTACGGTCACGTACACCACGATAGCGCCTGACGGAGACGCCGCCGCTGCGGGTACACTCGTTGACATCGCGGCAGCAGCAGCAACAGCAGCACCAGCAGCACCGGGGCCTCCGCTACGTGGCACTGGGCCTGAAGTCGCAAGCAAACACGGCAGCAGCAGCAGCAGTAACATAGCAACGGCAGTCGAAGCATGAATAGTGTACACAGCGGTAGCGATGAGCAGCAGTATTATCAGCAGTGTATAAACCTAAGCGAAAGAAACGACCTCCTGCTAATCCCCATTGCAGTCTCGCAGCGGTTCGGGTTCGAGCGGCGAACTGGTGGCGGAACTGGCGGCGGCAGCTGGTCAGAACAGGCGGGGGTCGCAGGGCGCCAGTAGGGGGGGGAGGAGGAGACCTCAGACGGAAGGGAGCGCATCCAAAAGGGCCGCATCATCACCAACACCACAGCAGCAGCAGTAGCAGCCGGAGGGGACCCCGGGTGCTATGACAACAGTGTGCAGCAGTTTCTGGTGCCTCGCCGCCAAAGGTGCCCTCCTCGATGAGCAGCAGCTGACATCGAGTTGTCTTTT